TTGGAAATTTGAAAGTCATTTTACCAAATGCCTGATATTATTTTATAGAATGAAATTTAAAAAAAAACACAATTGAAATCTTTTTTTTTTTCCTATCTTATTTTTGGGAAATATTTTTACAAATTCAAATGTGACGTCACTTTGTGTGCTTTTTTAGAATTTCAAATGTGACGTCACTTTGTGCGTTGAGGCTTTGGCTAACTCGCCAGTGTATTTTTATGTGTTGGATTAAGTTGTTTTATGTAATGTATCCGTTTTTATTCTGTAGTTAGTCATGTTTTATCATGTATATCTATAATATAGTCATTTTATAAAATTTACTGTTTGCAAAATTATAAATTATTCTAAATAATAAGGATGTTCTTGTCCCAGGCAGAAAACCCTGGCCGTGTTAGGCACAACTTTTTGGAAGTTTTGGTCCTCTGTGCTCTTCAGCTTTGTAATTGTTTTGGCTTTCAAACTTTTTTCATCTGAGCGTCACTGGTTGGTCTTGTGTGGACGAGACGCACGTTTGGCGTATTGAATTTTAAGCCTAGTACCTTTTGTTAGCTATTATTCGAGTGTTTCTTTGTCCTATATGTTCTCCCATTTATTTGAATTGTGGTCCTGTCATGTGATGTTGTCGTTTTGGTGTTGTGTTTGACGTTGCCATAAAAGCGGGAGGTTTGGCATGCCACAAAACCAGGTTCAACCCACCATTTTTTTCTTAAAATGTCCTGTACCAAGTCAGGAAAATGGCCATTGTTATATTATAGTTCGTTTCTGTGTGTGTTACATTTTAATGTTGTGTTTTTGTTGTGTCGTTGTTCTCCTCTTATATTTGATGCGTTTCCCTCAGTTTTAGTTTGTAACACGGATTTGTTTTTATCTCTATCGATTTATGAGTTGCGAACAGCGGTATACTACTGTTGCCTTTATTTTAAGAACAGAGAAATTTTATTTATGATAATGACTGAAAGTTAAAGCTTGCAATTTAAGAGTTTTAATTATCAAAAATAAGTTTGACTGAATTATCCCAAATTCACACAAGCACAGAACTCGACAATTATTTGTTATTTCTTAAAATGTTTGGATGACAGAACTGTAACACAATATTTGTCCTGATTTTTTGCAAATACATTGTTTGGCGTAATATCTGGTTTTAGCACTTCGACCACATTAGGAGAAACCTGGATCATGACACTTTAAGCTCTTTCATTACATTTTCTAATAAAACACTTAACGTTCGACAACATTGGGTTTCGCAATAAGCAAACACGTCACACATAAATATCTTCTTTTTCATATGTTCCCAAAAGATTCAAAGTACATTATCATGATAAGTTTGACTTGTATATTTTGGCTTATAGCTTTTAACGAACTGCCCATGACGGGTGATGCATCTTTAACAGGAGACGCTTACCCTGTCAAAGCACCGTTATTTGTCTCTCGTTGGTCGATTTTCGAGATTTTAACCACAGTTAAATACTGTCTCATTAATTCATCAGATTGCAAAAACCCAGGAATTTCCTTGAGGCAGTGAAGTGGCAGATACTCATATCTTTGCATTACAACCAAACACGGCCTTGTATGTCGAAACCCATGCTATAGAGGGGAATTTGTTCGGATATGGATCTGTAAATTCTCGTCCTTTCTGAATGGGGACATTAAATATATTGCCGCATGTTAGTAAAGTGCAACAGTCAGCACATTAAGAACTCTTTGACCGTTCTGCAGGTGGAATTTTCTGTCCCTATCCAATATACCTTCATTTCAAGCGGCAGTCGAAATTCCTGTCCTTCACTGCAGAAATAACCCATATTAATTAAAACCAAATTGTTCTCGTCTTAAAAATGCATGAAATACTTCCTACTGAAAACAAACAAACTGCAATCAGTCAGTTAAAACCAATCTTCTTTTCCTCTGCTTCATATGTTTCACTTCACTGTTCTGAATCAAGATTTTCTAAAAATTCTTTTGTAAATTTTGTTCTATTGAAAGAACAATTTGTCCTTCTGCCATTTTGATAAAATAATTATAAATTTACTATCTGAAATACAGAGTGAGTACATACTACGTAGTTTCACTAAAAAGAACATATCATATGAAATACAAACTTTCTCAGCTGGTTTTTGAAGAAAAAATTAATTCTACCGAACCATTAGTTATTTTCTTTGCAAGATGTTGTTTTTTTCCACTTTTTGTCAAATGCATCTAAATGATATCTTTTTTTCTACAAATTTCCTGAAACTGAACAGGCAATTTGTTGAATTTTGTTTCAAAATTTTAGTCATTTTACAAAATGACTAGGTAGTTCTAGTCATTTTATATAATGCCTGTCAAGTAAAGGCATTTTATAAATTGCCTGAAAATTCAGTCATATATATATATATAATGCTCACTGAAATTGATATAAACTACCATAAAGAATAAACATACTTTTATAAAAGGACTTTTTTTTCTTCTTGTTAATGTAATGACTCGTAGATTTATGAATTACTGGTCTTTCTTGTATTTCATAACTATCGATCTCTTCGTCTGCCCGTCCGTTTATGAGCCCTTTGTCGTTTTACAAGTAAAAATTGTCTTATTAACCGGTTTTAATCATTTATATGCGCAGTGTTTGTATTTATTAAAGGCTCTTTCAATATGCGAAAAATTTAAAACAATGCAGTAAAAAATATTTGTGTACAAAAAACACAATATTGAGAAACATCTTTTAGTGATGAGATTTCAAAGAAATTGATATATATGATAAGATGTTCTAAATTGATGTCCGGTTATTTTAAGGGTAAAAACTGTATTTTTTTTTTTATTACAAATGTCAAGAAACTTGCGCTAAGGTTTCAACGAAAATTGGTATAAAGGTATGAAATAATATTCAAAATTGATTAAGGTGTCAAAAATTATCCCTTGGCTGACTTCTCTGAAATAAACCAGAATAAAAATTCATAGTTCTCTCACTAGTCAACGAATTTTAGTCTGAATCAGACGTCATTTTAATATGAACAGCTCTATACAATGTACGACTTAACAATAAATCATTAAGTGATTTTCAGTTTTTCAGTACTGTTCATACGATTAGCTTGTAATCAATAAAGATATGTTCCATCTATGTTCAGACTGTTAAGTAGTTGTTATTTACCTGTACAGATCAACGACATACTGATTTGTCTGAAAATCTACAGAACAGTTCTGAATTGACTGCAAGTAAAATGTCTGAGCAGTACTGAATTTACCCCAGTCGATAAAGTTGAAATATGAATGAAAGACTAAACATGACCTAATAAATAATTTTTCAGAAGTTTCAGATGATGTTAAGATCAAAATGACCGTTTTAGACTAAAATTTGTTTACTAGTGTCTGATTTCAACGAAACGTAACTTGATATCTACGTAGACCATACCCGGTATTTATTCTTAGTGTCACAATTTACGATAATTGATACCCGATGAACATGTATTGTCTTGTTTGCATGATTATTCGTGTCTGTATCTCACACAAAAATGCTCTTCATGAAATGATTTCTAGCAGGAAAATTTTCTCTTAGTAAATGTGTATTGAGCACCTTCCAATGCTAATCTTAATTGTAGATCAAATGACAGTTTTTGTGAAATAACAATGTCATACCCCATTTTTAAACTTGCTGTATTTATAGTGTGACCGAACGTGACAGGTGCGTTCGACTTCAATCTTAATTAGAGCACGTTTGCTAGTTTTCCTGCCGAAAGTCGTTGGTTCTCTCCCGGCACTTTGGCTTCCTGTACCAATAAAAACTGAACGCCACTATATAGCCAATAGTGCTGAAAGTGTCGTTAAACACCAATAATCAATCAATCAATCAAAATCAGGATGTAAAGTTCGTGTACTCACATCCTCTCTAAAAGAATGAAAATGTAAAAAAAAATAAGGGACGAACTTCATGTATTACTTTCTTTCTGCTTTAACATTATTAATTTGTAAGATCCTGTATCAAATTTGCTCATTTCTATTACAGTAATATACTGTGATTGTCTGTCTTTATTTTTTTCTGTCAGGAGAAAATAAGAATGTTTCAAACGTTCTAAACGATGTATAGCATATTGTGAATAAATTATAAAAATGTCTATAGAGGTCCTCCTTTGAGCTCTCCAACAGAACATGGCGACTGTACTCTGACAACATTGTTATTTGGTGATAAACAACAAAATTTGATATACTCATAATATGCCAGTTTACAGTTAGAAATGAATTATCGATATGTTTTTCAGCCCTTATGAACACATCGTAATAAAGAAGGAATCTAAGAAGAAAGCACCACGCGGAGGGTAAGATATATAGTAGGTCTTGTGTTATTACAGTAATGTTGATTGAATAATTACGAAATTTAGTTTAGTATATAAATACAAAACATATGTCATATATACTTGGGAATTCTTTTACTCGATCTATACAATTATAAAATTTTCCTGAACACAGAAAAAACACTTTACTCTTTCGTGTAATTGCCATGCTGATAGACGGTTCACATATATGTTGCCACACAGTTCTGATAGCGCATGTTTTCTAATATATTGTAAAATCGTTATTACAAAAGCAAACTTCACACGAAAAAAAATTTGCTCTGTCCATAGATAACGATATCCATCTATGCATACATTGCATACATTGCATACATTGATTATGTATACAACTAGATTATTACTTACATGGTTATTTGCTGCATCATATTTATAAATGACGATTCAGTTATTTTTTTCAAATAAATGATAATGTTTCAAATTTTCGAATCGACCTTAAAGAATTAAATGCCAAAAAAATACCCAGAATATTTAAAATTTATGCTTGACTGTAGATTCGGAGGTCGAACAAACACAGACGACGTATTTAATGTACATACATATATTCAAAATTTAATAATATCTGCTACAGATAAGACAAAGGCAATCAATAATTGTGCATACCAAAAATGACACTGCTATCTATAATACCTATGTAATTCACATACTTGTTCTTTTTGTCGTCATAAATAAAAAGAGAACATAAATGGGACATACCAAGAGAAGAATTTTTGATGGACGACGAATTAGGGGAAGGGAATTTTGGAGAAGTTTACAAAGGTAATTCGTTTGTTATTTTTATAAACCCAATTAGGTATCTTGTATTAGACAAATATATGCAAGACCACAAAACTTGAACATTCGAGAATAGCAATGTCATTTAAAATCTGCAGCCACAACCTAATAGTTCAACGTGAAAATGGTATCTTTGTATATGAGAATTGAACTTCAAATGTATGAGCGTATCATTTAAAACCCTGGTATATATGCTGAGTTTATTTCAACTAAAATGTCAGACAGATTTTTAAAATGGATGTGGTATTTTTCAAAGTTTTCGAAAATATCTTTATAAAATAAGGAGATGTGGTATCATTTGCAATGAGACAACGATCCATCAGAGACCAAATTTAAATGACGTAGATGTTAGCAAATATAGGTCACTGTACAACCTTCAACTATGAGCAAATCCCATACCGCATAGCAAGCCATAAAAGGCCCGACAGACAAAAATGCAAAATAATTCACATATGAAAACCAACGGCCTGATTTCTATTAAAATTTCTATTTTTTTCCCTCGGTAATACTGGTAGTTTAGAGTTAATATTTTTTGTGGGAATTATTGATTCTGCGTTTTTCTAGTATGTTATTCTACTACTGATCCATATTAAAACCAATAGGATGGTGGTAAAGTACTTAAAAACCACACCACATATTGATAAGCCTGTTCCTAATCTGGAGCTCTCTTAAGGTGGATAGGGGGTCTTCATTAGTATCCATAGAATTTTTTAATATTTTGCCAAAATGTAGTTTATATCATGCTTTTTTCAAAAATATGATAAAAAGTATGGGTCACCGGGATTTTTTTCACGCTACAGGTTGTGCAATATTGTCAGATTTTATATAGATTATGCAATGGAAAACACAATTTTGTGTGATAAAAAGAAAACTACACCATAGAATTGTAAGATTAAATATGAGAAGATAGCTCTTATAATATGCTTTCAGATAAGAAAAAGACAAAAAAATGGGGTCACCGGACTCGTTTTCTTGCTAAATAATAAAATAGGTAATTTCACAACACATTCAATTATAAAAGTTACTTTATCTGAGTTATCTCCCATCTATCTGAGTTATCTCCCCTTATCATGCTTATGTGGCAAAGTTGGAAAAATATGAATCAAACAAAAATATTCAGTTTTTTTGTAAAATACAGCCGTAAATATGATAAAACACATAATTTTCTATAGTTGGACGAAAAGTCTTACACATGAATTACATACTACTCTCGAAATTTGCACATTTCATTGAAGATATAGACTGATTGTTTTCTGCTATTTCAAAATCCAAGATGAAGGAAGACACCCAGCTACCTTAAGATACACAATTTCATGTCTTCTGTCTCTTAGATTATGGGTTTGGTGGTAGACTTTTAGAATTCGTTGTTAAATTTATTCACAAGTTGTCTACAGTCGGGCGATTGTGAGCTAGAAAAATAATGGTATAGACACATTTCTCTTGTTGAATATCTTTTGTTGACATTAAAATGTATTTTGCAGTTTTGTTTGTTGACGTTAAGATGTAGTTTGCTTTTTTTAGAGTTGTTCGAATGTTATCTTGTTGACGAATTTTCCTTTTTTTTTTCTTCATAATATTCGCATGGTAGGTGGTTGATGTAAAGCACGAGACGTTTACCCTGTCGGCGCACTCCTTTCGGATATTATGCGAATCTCTCAGCTTTTGTATGTTGCCTTGATTTCTATTCTCTTAATCAGTCCAAGAAATTTGAACATCGGTAAACTATTCTGTTGCCTAAATATACTATGGAAGTGCAAAATGTGTATTCCCATTCCCCATATTTTTGTGTACCTTAGAAACAACATGCAAATAATAGATTTAACAAATAATTTGTTTTAGTGTAATTTAGAAGTGTATTCTATATCCAACATGATTTAAACATGTCCCTTAACATATTTGAATCAAAACAGTTCGATTATAATTATGTGATTGTTCTTTCCATTTAAATAATACCACTTTGCATACAAAGTTATGTTGATTTAAAAATTCAAAATGTTAGCATTTATAATTATTTATCATTTAAGTATGAATTAATGGGTATTTTGATAATGGCCCTGTTATATTTCTAAGGTCTGTTATAATGGTCGAGGATGCATGTAATGGAGAGGGACATAACAGCCTCCGATGACATTATTACTGACCGAGGACAAATAACAGGGTCAATTTGAAAACACCCATTTCTTTACACTTTTATTAACCAAACCGCCAATGTGTAATATTTGATCACGCCAAATCAGTTTTGTTTTTTTGAGAAATTATATACATATAATTATACCAAATGCAATATTACAATGAAACATTTACAGTGATGTGATGTGATGGAATAACATGTAAATGTAAATATAGTTGTATTGTTGTCCTATTCAAAGCAATTTATTGCATACAATTACAGGATTTCATTCTGGATTTTAAAACTCAAAATTAAAAAAAATGATAGACATCATGGAATGTGTAATTTAATTGTTAACTTGGCAACTGAGTAGGTGGAAAGGGTATTGGGAGACAGGGAGAAAGGGGCGGGAGAAAGGAGAGAGGGGCGGGAAAAAGGAGGGAGAACTATCAAAGGGAGACGGTCTTTAATGTTGAAAAAAAAAATAAAGAGGTAAAAAAACGAAAAAACTGGATACTAAATGTTCTAATAAATGGACAAATCTTTGAAAAAAGGCAACATTTATATTTTCCAAACCATTTTTGCCATTTCCGATCATTTCTAGAAATCATCCTTTCAAAACGGAATTATCTCTCCGTTACGTTATCCTTTTTAAAATGCCCCATCATTTCCGGTTTGTTTGAGTTGAGAATGAAAAAAATTGGATGGCAATCAGAAGCGAAAGAATATTGAAACAATAAGCGCAGGTGTTCATATATTTGGGAAAAACTAAACAAAAGCCGTTGATAATCATTTTATATACTTAGAACTTGATTCTGACAAAGACTTTACCACATTTCTAAAAGAGTTGAAACTCGATAATGGTTTCCATGAACGATGTGCAAAGCTTGGGATATTACATTTTGACACCGAGTTGACAATTCTAGAGAAAAAGGACAGAAAGTTGGTCGTTGTGAATAACAACACCTCGTGGAAACATGCCTTGAAGCTGTTACTGCGGGATGAAGCAGAACTACATGGAAAATAAGCATGATAATGTCAAATACATTTTTAAAACAAACCAAAGCAGTGCACTATAATCTGGGTTCCTGTTAAATACCTCAAGGGGTCTTTTTCGAAACTTCTCAAATATATACTCAGGTCACCAGCAATCTGACCAATCTGGGCAATTATCACAGGCATCACAGTGTTGCAACGTTGCTGGCAGTATCGATAATTGTGTTCGTATGTACGAAAATGTTACATTATTTTTTGTGAACCATACTGTGATGTTGATTTAATCTGAAAAACATGAGGGCGCAGTGTCAGACATGATCTGAACAGCAGGAACTTTAGCGATATAAATGCCAATTTTATATAAAATGGCAGCCGCTAATGTCCAATGAGAATTTTGAAGTTGCCAGAGATGACCTAGGGTTATATTTGAGGTTTATCAAAAATATTTCCACTGATTACCAGGTTAATAAAAGTTACACCACACTATAGGTCCCATGTACACTTTTACCATGTTTACAGGCCCAGTTAAGACCATTCAACCTGAAGAAAAGGGGTGCTTGCTTTTTTACTTAAAGAAAAAAAATTGTTGCTACATTTCGTAAAACACAATTAGGCCCAATTTGTTCTTTGACTAAAATGGGAGCAGAAAAAATAAATTGATGCAGCATTTCTACTTGCATACACATGTGTAATATAAATATGTAAAAACGTAATGATGAATTTGAAACAAAATTTCTGTGTCCCATAAAGAAACAAAACAAATATATGTCAAGAGAAAAAAAGCAAGTCCCAACCCTTCAAGTTAAATGGTCAGTCCCTTTAAAATAGTTCATTAAATGTCCATGCTATATGCATGCTAGTAAATGACAACCAAACTGGATGATACTTCATATAACTGGTTAGTTTTATCTTTCATCAGTTTCTGATTAAATGTCAGAATTACCCCGGTAGTTATTTTGGACCCAATTTGTGGCGTCTTCAAAAGTAAACTGACACTAATCAAAACAGGTTTTGTCTACTTCAACTCCTTCAAAATAAATATTTTTATCTGTAGTAAAATTATGATAAAAAACTGATTCTTTGAAAAAGACACATGTACACATTACCAAATTTACAAGAAAAGGACAACGAATACATACTTGAATAGTATATATATATATAACAGTATATACAAATACAGGTTGATATTAAACAATTTGGCGGCTGGCGACTGTTTATATTCCATATTAGGTCAGTGACACTATGTGTAATGAAAATATGTATTCTACAAACTGTCTGAATTGTTACATTTCCAACAAAGTTGTTCCAAAGCTTTTAAACATGGACATTTACAATCCACCATTTTGTCATTGAAACGTTTAGCATTTGAATGTCCAACCAATGACATACATGTAAATATTATCAATTTATTAACATGTAACATACTCTTTTTGCAGTGAAAATATTCGATGTGAAACGTGTGAGCTCCTGCAATTTTTTTGAAGTTGGGAATTCAGGTACACAAGATATTAGAACAAAAGACTCTGAAAGTGTAGAACCAGCAACAAAAAAGATCAAAAGGTAATTGTTGTTTCCAATAGATTTTGTATGTCAAAAGTCCAAATGGTCTAAGGGTATTGCTGTAAAAAAAGATATTTCAAGTTTCCAAGGACATATGCCACATATAATTTCCAGTTTCCATTATTTTTCCGATGAAACTTAAGGAAATGAAAGATAAATCTTCAATGTTGACTTTGTAATACCTAATTATTTGTTTTTATACCCCCGATTAAAAAGCAGTCTGTATATAGTGATCCTCATGTCTGTGTGTCTGTCTGTCCTGCCATAATTTTTGTCACAAATTTCTTATGACTCTGAGATCAGAGGGTTCTGAAATTTG